AAAAAAAAAAATATTTAAAGAATTATTTTGGGGCCCATGATGGGGTTCCCTCCCTAAGTTTCAAGGACAACAAGAGACCAGAAAACAATTTGGCGTTGGGAGAATTTTCTTGTAGAGAACACTCAAGGATTTTTTTTACAGCAAAAGACAGCAACAAAATCCGTTGTTGAGAGAATTTTTTGTTAAGAACCCTTATAACTTTTAGGCAGAGAACCCCAAAAACCCCAATCTTGGGACCCAAATAAATTCTTTAAACTGCAAGAAATGATTGTAGACTAGATTGATGCAGAGAGAGTCCACGTGTACACTTTAAGCCAATGAGACCTGGAGAATCTTGTGTTGAGTACTGCAAAAATATACTTATCAATGTAGAGAGAACCAAAAAACTTTGCGGTAATATTCCGCAGAGACTTTGAAGAATAATCACTGTTTGACCTTGCTGTCAAACCCATTCTCAAGTCAAAAATATCCCCGTGTCAAATTTATTTAGTCCATTCCTATGCGCCCAGCAAATATATGACTTTCCTTGGTGAGAACAATGTATTATTTAGACCTCCTTAACTGAAAGAATTTCCCCTTACGCATCTTTACCTTCTGTAACTCAAATTTACAAAGGCCTTTTTCCTATCATTATCCGCATAAAAAATGTGTTCCTCAAATCAACTTCTCGGTGCCTGCGTATATAAGTGGTATTACAATATTTTGAAATACTGTAGTATGCAGCAAAAACTTTTAGATTATTCAAATGTGATAAATTTACTGTACTGGATGTATGCTCGTATTCCTGGAGACTATTCTTTTTTCTATAGTTTGTTTTCCCCATTTCAGATTCCCCCATTTGCTGTTGCTGACATAAACGCGGACAAGATCGGACAGGAATCGCAAATCATACCTGATGCACTCACCGTCGAAGAGCTTTTGGCGGGAAAAATGGACGTCGAGTTTGGGATTGAAGAAGCTGTCAAAGCTGCTTGTGAGTTCTGAATCAAATACTTCATCTAATATTATTCCCAATGAATTCTTCATTATATTATATATACAGTCTGTAGAGATTTCGAAGAATATACTGTTCGTCAAATGTAGACTCGGGCCGTTCGAAACCTCCATTATGATAAAAAAAAAGTGTCCAACAATACCGGAGCTATAACATTGATATGATAATAATTCAATATTCAGATGAGGTTTAAGCGTTTAACATACAAAAAAAGGTTTATTTTAATACAGTACAGCAGCTTCAAGTCATATTTCGATGCCAAACAAATTGAATTTGTCTAAAGGACTTTTTGTCTAACAGAATTGACCTTTGCAAGAATTAAGTCCATTACACAGGGGTTGACTGCATGTACATTGAGACCCCCACATGTGGACAACTTGACATGCAAACAATTTGATATAGGGACACTTATTTTCCCATAAAAAATTATTTTATAAGGCCCAACATGTGGACACTGGCTCAACATATGGATATTGTGTGATATAATAGCAAATAATGTTCAGGCCAAATTACAAGAAACAGATATTTCCAAACCTAAAATTGATGAAAGAAAATTTCTTTGGCATTTCTCTCAACAATTTGCCATCCATTTTGCTAATAAAAAATTACCTCAAGCATAGAAGAACTTCCTGCTCTCTTTATCACTTGAATTTTTTTTTTTTACAGAGAGAGCCAATATTTCCATGTACTGCACAGAGGTATCAGTATCCAATGCTCCAAATGCTCATACTGTGTTGAAATATATTGATTGAATCAGTTTCAATTCGGAGAGAATTTTTTCTCATGAAGTTATTATGTATTTTATCCATAAAACACCAATTGAAAATTTTATATTGTAAGTACAGTGGTTCCCCATCTTACGTCATCAATCCATTCCAGGATGGACGTCATAACATGGGGCCATCATAAGTTGATACCCTATTTCCATTAAGGTTACATTATAAAAAAATTAATTTGTTCCAGAAAAAAAATATTAAACTAAAATTACCTTTATATTTCAAATTTTTGTCAGAAAATTTCGGCTTATACTTCAGTAAAATCAGTATATTTTTAGAAGGTGTTAAAAATCAAATCTTTGAAATAAGAGAATAGTCTTTCACTTTTTAAATTGTCTTTATCATATCATCAAAAAAAGTCAAAAATGTGGGCAATTGATTCTTCACGCATCTGTTGTGGAAGTATTGTACTTCCATCTGTTATCCGTTTCCCACAAAATTTTAGTCCCACATGCCCAAAAAACCATGGATCTCGTTATAAAATTTTTTCAGGTCTCTGGGAGTTTTTTGTAATAAGATTTTTATTACATTACTGTTGTATCATGAAACCTCAATGTAATTCGGGGTTTTTTTTTATAAAAAAAGTGTCGTATGTTGAAACCGACGTAACATGGGCCCGCCGTAAGTCGGGGGCCCACTGTACAGTATAAGGGAAATTGAGACTCAACTTAGAGACACTCTTGATTCACAAATTACGTCCGCATCTTGGGGTCTCACTGTATATCCTAGCCAATTTTCATTGCGCCAAGACTTTGTTAAATTACTATGGACCCACAAAAAAATTTTCAGATAAATCCAGAGGCTTGGACATTGAAG